GATTGATGGGTCTTGACTCTTTATCCAGTTTGCCAGTCTGTGTCTTTTAATTGGAGTATTTAGTCCATTTACATTTAAGGTTAATATTGTTATGTGTGAACTTGATCCTGCCATTATGATATTAACTGGTTATTTTGCTCGTTAGTTGATGCAGTTTCTTCCTAGCCTCGATGGTCTTTACATTTTGGCATGTTTTTGCAATGGCTGGTACCGGTTGTTCCTTTCCATGTTTAGTGCTTCCTTCAGGGTCTCTTGTAAGGCAGGCCTGGTGGTGACAAAATCTCTAAGCATTTCCTTATCTGTAAAGGATTTTATTTCTCCTTCACTTATGAAACTTAGTTTGGCTGGATATGAAATTCTGGGTTGAAGATTCTTTTCTTTAAGAAAGTTGAATATTGGCCCCCACTCTCTTCTGGCTTGTAGAGTTTCTGCCAAGAGATCTGCTGTTAGTCTGATGGGCTTCCCTTTGTGGGTAACCCGACCTTTCTCTCTGGCTGCCCTTAAGATTTTTTCCCTTCATTTCAACTTTGGTGAATCTGGCAATTATGTGTCTTGGAGTTGCTCTTCTCAAGGAGTATCTCTGTGGCGTTCTCTGTATTTCCTGGATTTGAATGTTGGCCTGCCCTACTAGGTTGGGGAAGTTCTCCTGGATGATATCCTGAAGAGTGTTTTCCAACTTGGTTCCATTTTCACCCTCACTTTCCGGCACCCCAATCAGACGTAGATTTGGTCTTTTTACATAATCCCATACTTCTTGCAGGCTTTGTTCATTTCTTTTTCTTCTTTTTTCTTTTGGTTTCTCTTCTCGCTTCATTTCGTTCATTTGATCCTCAATCGCTGATACTCTTTCTTCCAGTTGATCGAGTCGGTTACTGAAGCTTGTGCATTTGTCACGTATTTCTCGTGTCATGGTTTTCATCTCTTTCATTTCATTTATGACCTTCTCTGCATTAATTACTCTAGCCATCAATTCTTCCACTTTTTTTTCAAGATTTTTAGTTTCTTTGCACTGGGTACGTAATTCCTCCTTTAGCTCTGAGAAGTTTGATGGACTGAAGCCTTCCTCTCTTATCTCGTCAAAGTCATTCTCCGTCCAGCTTTGATCCGTTGCTGGCGATGAGCTGCGCTCCTTTGCCAGGGGAGATGCGCTCTTATTTTTTGAATTTCCAGCTTTTCTGCCCTGCTTTTTCCCCATCTTTGTGGTTTTATCTGCCTCTGGTCTTTGATGATGGTGACGTACTGATGGGGTTTTGGTGTAGGTGTCCTTCCTGATGTATAGTTTTCCTTCTACCAGTCAGGACCCTCAGCTGTAGGTCTGTTGGAGATTGCTTGAGGTCCACTCCAGACCCTGTTTGCCTGGGTATCAGCAGCAGAGGCTCAGTTGAAAATGCAGAAATCACTGGTCTTCTGTGTTGCTCGCGCTGGGAGTGGGAGACTGGAGCTGTTCCTATTCGGCCATCTTGCTCCGCCCCCTATTGTTGAGTTTTAAGAGCTCTTTGTAAATTTTGGGTAGCAATCCTTAATCAGATCAGTCTTGCAAATATTCTATCCCAGTTTGTGACTTGTCTTTTCATTTTCTTCACAGTGTCTTTCAAAGTAGAAATTTTCCATTTTAATGAAATCCAGCTTGTGAATTATTTGTTCGATGAATTACACCTTTGGTGTTATATCTAAAAAGGCATCACCCAACTCAAGGTTATCTAGATTTTCTATACATTTTAAAAATAGGATTATCAGTCTTTCTTTCTCAAAATTTTGGATGCTCATTTGTCTTTGGTTTTGCTTATTATATTTTTAACCTTGCAAACAGGTTTACAATTTTATTTAAAAGTATTTTTTATCACTTCTGAATTTTGTAGTGAGGAAAATTTTTCATAATTCCAAGTAAAAAGAAATATGTTCCTTTTTTATTTTATGTCATAATGTATCATACTTGAATGATCTTCAAATATATGCTATATTGTTAAGTTTAAGAAGCAAGGTTCAGAACAGTGTGTGTAAAATGCTGGATTTTTTTCTTAGAATGAGGTGTGTATGTATTCACATGTGGGTGCTTCTATACACATTCATATACATTTGCATGTATGTCTAAAAAGATACAGAGAAAAAGGCAATGAAAGGATAAACCAAAAAATAGTGAAAATGGTTACTTATGGGGGATGTGGGGGGCAGTTAGTATGATAGAGGCAACAGGGATGAAAGGAGGATCATCTGTCCAAATATATTCCTTGTTTTATAGTTTTGGCTTTGGAACCACATAGATATTTTATGTAATAATAAAGCAAAATTAAATCAAAATTAAATACAGCAAATCCTAAAATTAAAAAGAAAATTAAACACATGAATTTAACTGTGTATCAAGCTGATGACTTATTTTAAGTGACTTTATAGTAATACAGTTATACATCTCTAGGGGCATATATCTTAAGGGCAGAAAAATTGGAGGAAACAAATAATATTTGATACTCAAATATTAGTAATATGGTATTTTTATTTTGAAACCATAAAATTTCGTGATAAAGCAAATAAGTAATCGTGTTAAAATCTCTAGTAACCAAAATTTGTAGCATTAAGAGCAAAGATGGGCAAATATATCAAAGATATATTTAATTTGTATCTATTTAAAATTCAATGAAAAAATTAGTATGAATTTATATGTATTTTTATCCTTCAAAAATATTTGTATTTCTAGCTTTGATCAATGAAAGGACCTAGAAATATGAATAGCATCCTAGCAGTGAGCATTCATGGGTTCCAGTTGTAGTCTTTGAATACCATTTTCCACTGAGAAGAGCCAGGGCTTTTTGAAGAAATGTCTGATTCCGGATCTTGAGTAGAAAATATGACAAAAGTCTAAAACATTTGTTATAGCAGAAAGTAGCAGAGTTAAGAAAGATGGGGTTATGTCATAGGAACCAGTTTGAAGAGACTACCATTGGCCAATTTTAGCAAGGAAAAAAGACTGCTAGGATTGAAAGTCATTCAATATGTTCAAAAGCTGGGAATCATAAGGATACAAACAAAACAAAGTGAAAAAACACATCGATCACCTCTGGAGGTTACTGGGGGATAAAGTCATTTTCAGTGCTGTAATATAAAAGAATCATGTACTTATCCTATTCTTCCCATAAAAACTTTTCAAAGTAACTAAATAATTAATGAGAGGAATTTATTCTTTATAGGATTTTGCTAATAAATGAAGAAAGAATAATAGACTACCGCAAGTTAACAACCTTTATTTATTAAAATAATATCTGTAGGAAATGATCATCAATGGCTACTAATATCCTCAGGCAAAACATGGATAGGGAGCAGGATACTATTAATAGACAGATCCAGCTGACAACATGTGACTCCACTGGTTAAACTTAATATTGAAGAGGGACAGCCAGTTGTTATATGTCAACTGATACGGTACCATAGGAAGTACACAACTTTTAAAAAATTGAACTTGTTCAAGCCCCAACATGTACCAGTTTATACAGCATACATGAGATAGAGGAACATATAAAATGACATTTCAGGATGCTGTTTATCAAATCTAGGTGCCAGAAATTCTCCAAGATAAATGACCCAGTTTCTTGAATAAGTAATAGGCAGGAAATAAAAATGATGGGGGAACTGTTGGAGATTCAAAGAGAAAGAAAATATCAACCCAAATGCATTATGTAGACCATGTTTGGATCTTACTTTGAAAAAACCAGTAATATAGTGATTGGACCCATCAGGGAAATTTTAACAATGACTGAGTTTTAGATGATGTTAAGGAATAGTTAATGTTTTATATGTGATATTATTGTGTTCATGCTAAAAACAATTCCTATCTCTTAGAAATACAAATGAAAATATTTACCAGTGAAATGATATAATCTCTGGAATTCCTTTTTTTTTTTTTTTTTTTTGAGACAGAGTTTCGTTCCTGTTGCCCAGGCTGGAGTGCAATGGCACAATCTCAGCTCACTGCAACCTGTGCCTCCTGGGTTCAAGTGATTCTCCTGTCTCAGCCTCCCAAGTAGCTAGGATTACAGGCATGCGCCACCATGCCTGGCTAATTTTGTATTTTTAGTAGAGATGGGGTTTCATCACATTGGTCAGGAGGCTGGTCTTGAACTCCTGACCTCAGGTGATCCAGCTGCCTCCACTTCCCAAAGTACTGGAATTACAGGGGTGAGCCACTGCACCCAGCCTTCTGTTAATACTTTTAAATAATCCTGTGAAGGGAATAAACAGAAAAGATCATTATCTTGGATGACAAGTACATAGGGTTATTACAATATTTTTTACAAATTTGAGTGTTTGAAATTTTCTATTATGAACTGTTCTTAATTTTAAAAAATTCAGCTTTAATTTTTTAAATTAAAATGGAATAGAATTTCATGTCATCAAAATAATAACTTTCTTCTTTTTTTACTTTTTCTTTTTTTTTTTTTTTTTTTTTTTTTTTGATACAGAATCTCACTGTGTCACCCAGACTGTAGTGCAGTGGCACAATCTTGGCTCACTGCAACCTCTACCTGCCGGGTTCAAGCAATTCTCCTGCCTCAGCCTCCCGAGTAACTGGGACTACAGGCACACGCCGCCATGCCCAGCTAATTTTTTGTATTTTAATAGAGACAGGATTTCAGTGTGTTGCCCAGGCTGGTCTTGAACTCCTGAGCTCAGGCAGTCTGCCCACTTTGGCCTCCCAGAGTGCTAGGATTATAGGCGTGAGCCACCATGGCTGGCCAAGAACTTTTATAATTTTAAACCTGAACAGTTGAAATGTGTCTATACATTTATACCTGCAGGAATGTTACAGAATTTATTCTACATAAATGTTGTAGTTGCTCTGGAACCAACACGTACTTATCTTGAAACTACAGCATGAATCTAATAGTTTTTCTTATAAGTCATTCTCACATTTATCAATAATACCAGAGAAACCTTTGAGGTAGATCTAATGCTGTGTATTCTTCCTATCATACCTACCTCTTACTAAGGTCCTAATACTTGTTTTTCAGGTACAGCAGGTACAGACTGTGCAGCAGGTACAACATGTCTATCCAGCTCAGGTGCAGTATGTGGAAGGAAGCGATACTGTCTATACCAATGGAGCAATGTAAGTTTATATGTGGAAGTCTTTTTAATTCCCCCACTCAGAGAAAAATAATGTACTTTTGAACACCTCCCACTATTCCCAGATTGTTTCCTTTTTTTCAAAGTAACTTTGTACTAGAACAGAGTTACTGAAATTAAGCTGATGTTTAGAGCTTTTATCTACATTTATTAAGAATATGCACTCATTTTCCTTTCACTTAACCCCACAGGATATTTTAAATTATTAAAAGTCTTATGCCCTTTAATAGTTATTCTTTGTGCAGAGAAAAAATGTATATACCCCTTGTTAGTGATATCTGTATTTTAATGATAGCTTCTAAACTCTATGCTTTTTGTTTTTATGTACAAGGTCAATTTTTATGTGATGGAGTTTGGGATTTTTAAACATTTTTAAAATAAGATATTCCACATAAAATTGCCTGCTACTCAATAAATCTTACTTTCCTACCTAAACCTGCCCCCTGCCTAAAACCAGGTTAACTCTTTTGCCTCAACAATAATATAAATTTTTATTTGGGCTTCTTAGCTGCTTCGGAATAAGACGCAGAATGTTATTATAAATAAAGGAACTAAGAATTATTGTAAATCACTAGGATTGTTTCCAAATTGGCTTTTTTGCTTGCAACCCATAGGCTTCCTCGGTTAACCTAAAATGAATTCAGGTTCTCTCACTGACTCTTCTGCCCACCTCCCATCGATGTTGGTATACCCCGGGATGATAACCTCTGCTGTCTTTATTCTTATTACATCTACTCTTTCCTTGAGTGATTTCATTTATTTCCATGATTTCAACCTATAAGTTCCATGAAGGCAGGACTTTTTTTTTTTATTCACCACTGTAATAACTTTTAACATCAGAAGTATTCATGACCTGTGAGTTCAGTTGTTGTTATCTGTTATTATAACTAAAAACAGAATTCTGGTTAACTTCATATTCATTTTATAATTGTGACCAATGTACTTAAATATTCTGAGCTTTTTGTTATTGTTTCCATGGAAGTGGAAGGAGAATAATCTCACTCTTACTGAGTTTTTGTGAGGATACAAGGAAATATATTTAAAGTACTGAATACAGAGCCTGGTACATAATAGATGATACAAAACTAGAAGCTTTTCATTGACTCTTACTTCTCTCATTTTTTGCTATATTTGGTCACTGAATCTACCCACATCACTACTGCCTAACGCTACCTCCATTCCCTATAAAATAAAATCTAACTTTCCACACTGGCATTCTCCCCATTCCTACTTCCCTAGCCTTATTTTCTACCTTCTAGGCATAACCAACTTTGTGCATTTTTCCCCAAATATTCCCCCTTCATACTTCTATGTTTTTGGACATGTCATTTTCTCTGCTGAAATAGCATTCTCTGTCTTCTCTCCTTTCCTCCCAGTCTCCCCAAACCCAGTCTAGTGTGATCTTTATAGACAGACATGTTACTCCCTTCTTTGTGACATGGACCCTGACTCTCCTTCTCTGCAGTTAGCTTATCCTTCCCTTATAAAGGGCAACATTATCCCCTGACTTTTACTTACAGCATTGTACTATGAATGCTTGTTTATGTTTCCCATAGTAGGAAGGACTCTCCCTGAATGGAAACTTGGCATTTTGTTTTATTTACATTTACTTAGGTGATTGGCCTATGATAAAGTCAGTAAATTTCTGTTACCCTCTTAAATCTATACCTCTTTACATATTTTAGACACACTGTGAATGTTTTTCACTCTACTTACTTGTTGTTTAGGTCCAGGGCCCCCTGGAGCATGATTTTGGAATCTTTACCATAAACTTAAACTATTGTTGGCATTTATACCAAATGAAAAAGACGCCTGCCACTTCGACCTTTATGCTCTCAGGGAAAATAAATGGCTTTCTAGACACTGCTAGAGGTCACCCAGTTGTCAGTTGTCATTTCATCTTTGTCTGTGACAAGCAGTAATGGTCACCTGCAGGGGAATGTGAGAATGGGAGTTTGTAGCTTTCATGACTGTTGTGGTAGAATGTGACAAGGGAAAAGGGCAGTTGGAATGGGTATTGAGAGAGTTAACTGTATAGTACCTATCACAGTTATTTCTCATTTTGTATTGGTCCGAGCTAAGGTGGAGAGATTAGTCTGTTAAGTATGAAATGAAGTACCAGTTGAGCTGAAAATCAGAAATCCAAAATACTCCCAAATCTGAAACTTTTTGAGCACCAACATAATGTTTAAGGGAACTACTCATCATGCATTTCAGATTTTAGATTTTCAGCTTAAGGATGCTCAACTGGTAAGTATATAATGCAAATATTTCAAAATGTGAAAAAGTAAAAAATTCGAAACACTGCTTGTTCCAAGCATTTTGGATATAGGATACTCAACCTGTAACCTCAGTTAATCAAAAGTGCTTTATGTATCATCTAAAGAATAGTAAGCACTCAATAAACATTAGTTATTGCTGTAAAATTATCCACTTCGTTTACATTTTTCACTACTACTTATAGTTCTAAATTCTGCATATTGTCTTGTGCATTTTTAAACTGCTTTACCAATGATCTTAGGGTCTTCCACATAATAGCTGAACATGAGTTGAATGAATTCATTCATTCACAAAACCTTAGAAAAACAGCATTTGTAAGGTAGGTTCTTTAAAACTATAGAGCCCGTTTAAGTGCAGAAATGATTCAAAGCAAATATCTAGTGCTAACATGTATTTTCTATGGCCCACTAGCTCAGTTGGTTAGATCATGACTAATGAGGTCTAGGTCATGAGGTCATTTGTCACAAAGTCCAATTAGCTTTGATCTGGTCTGTGTGGACTCAAATTGTATCCTCAACTCTAGCCGATAATGTCACAAATGTGCACTTTTGGTCAAGAGGGAGAAGATGCATCTTTAAAAACCTTTCTTTACTATCAAGGATGATTTTTGACTAAAGGTTCTGTAGCATCATTTTTATACTTAATAAGGAAATGTCATTGTGTTGCCATGAATTATACTCAAAATTTTAGCAACTAGGGACTATGAATATTTTTTCTCAAATAGGACTAGAAAATTTTTTTCAGCATAAGCTATTTCAGTCTTTCTGTAATTTTGTAGTGCTGACATTTGACTATTACAATTTTTGTCTCTAATGTTCATTTTAGGGTCTTTCTGTGGCTTCTTTTTATTTGGCACACTTCCATGTATGTTAGGAAAGAATATTCCATATTCTTCTATTCTACCACACTGAATTAATAGCAAGTTAGTGTTTGATCCCTGACTTGTATCACAGTCAGAGTCCCACTTCTATGTGATAATAAATGCTTTTTGCTAATGATACTTCCAGAAGATAGGGACTCTGATCTTTATCATGAACTTTTGAGCACCCAGTACATGGCCCTACAACCTATGCATGCTTACTAATGCTCTTGTCACCAGTGTCCCCATGTCATGTAGCCATAATGCATGGGGTCTCACTCAAGAGGTGATGACAGCTCTCACAGATATGTGTCGTCACTTATGAAAAAGTGTAATCATCATAATTTGATGATACTAAAGTGTTTACCTGGTTCTCCCTGTGAATATGGACAATTACTGCCAGCAAAACAGGCATAACAGTGTGGGTTAGTGAGTGAGTGTACATTTCAGTTAAACAACTGAGACTGCTTTACAGCACTGTGTGTTGGAATATAGTAGCTTTTTGCTCAAGGGAGAAGGTAATTTAATTCACTTTTGCCCCTGTTTATTTTATCCTGGCTTCTGTAGGAACCTATGCTACATCATTTGTGTATTTCCTTGCAGTAGTTTTTCCAAGATTTTCCCAAAGGCTTGATCATTATCTTTATTTCTATAAATTCTTACTATTTATGATATTTAATCATTTAGAATACTATGATTAAACCTGCTGGGAAACATTGCATACCATGTAGAGAGTTCATTTCAATGGAAATTTCTTGGTGTAGTTAAGAAATATTTTTTTTAAATAAAAAGATTTTTTCTTCCCCCACTCTTTTTTGACTCATACCTCCCCCACTTGCTCCTACATCATGCTAGTCAAAGTGGAAATAGAGACATCATGCTGTATTGTGGTCAAATTAAGAAATCTTTATTTTAAAGGGTTTTCTTATAAAACCATTCTTTGAAGCTTGCCCACTGTTTAGAGATAATCAGTGTTTTAAAAAGCAAAATTATTCATTGTGTGTATATCTGTTCTAGTAGTGTTCCTGTTTAGATTATAGATTTCTCAACTCCAATACATAACTTCTCATACCATGATTCATTATACATTAGTCCCTTAAGAGTTCTGTGGTTACACAAGCAGGGAAACACTATGTGATTCACTTTCTCTTTAGAACACTCAATTCCTGTTACCCTTTTAAAAGCTCTGAAAAGTCCTATAGAAATGCATAGAACCACAGAACACTTTTACCTGAATAATATCTAATAAAATCACATGTTATGCTTTGGGAAATGGTACACTAATATATATTGACATTGAATAATTTAAAATCCATTTTTAAAGTACTATACCTATAGTCATCTCTTGAAAAATCATGTATTAGTGCATTTTTGAAGTCATCTAATTATTTTCCCATACAGTTTAAATGAGTAATAAGAAACCTTAAAAGGAATATTTCTTCAGTCTCTTTTCTTCTATAAGTGGAATATGAAATTTCAGTATTTGCAGGTGAAATTATGCTTTCTTCTTCTTATTCAAATGCTGTCTCCTTAAGAGAAATGGTTACGTGGAATTCTGTAATTGAGATGCGGAGGTGCTTTCTTCATTTATGCTTCTACTTATGTACACATTCTGACTGGTATAGGAGTTGGTTTTTGAATCCACTTGCCATTTAGATTTCAGTAATTGTATATGGCTGGTTACGTAGAAATTTCTCTTGGAGAGAGGACTGCCCTTATGTGGAAAAGACCATGAAAGGGCACCCTGTTCGCTGTCTAATACCTAAAACAATGGCCCATGATAGGTGCTCAATCTGTATTTGCTGAATGAGTTAAATGAAGATTAGCATTTAATGATGGATGAG